AGTGGGTTGAAACAATCACGAAAGGGCCTAAAAACAACAAAAAATGGTGGGAAACCATCAAAACGTAGGTTGGAACCACCAGTAAATGGCTTGAAAGTGACAAAAAATGGTGGAAACCATCAAGAAATAAGTTGGAAACATCACAAAAATTGGCCTGAAAGTGACAAAAAATGGTGGGAAACCATCAAAACATAGGTTGAAACCATCAATAAATGGCTTGAAAGTGATAAAAAATGGTGGGAAACCATCAAAAAGTAGGTTGAAATTACCAAAAAAGCGACCTAAAAGTGACAAAAAAAGGTGGAAAACTTTCAAAAAATGGGTTGAAGCCATCACAAAACTGGCCTGAAAGAGACAAAAAGTGATGGGGAGACCAATGGTGAGGTCTTGAAATTGTCAAAAAATGGCTTAAAAGTGACAGAAAGTGTTGGGAAACCCAATGGGGAAGGCTTGAAATCATCAATAAACAGCTTGAAAGCGACAAAAAAGGGGGAGAAACCATCAAAAAATAGGTCGAAACCATGAAAAAAATGGCCTAAAAGTGACAAAAAATGGTGGGAAACCATCAAAACATAGGTTGAAACTGTGAAAAAATGGCCTAAAAGTGACAAAAAATGGTGGGGAAACCCAGTGGGAATGGCTTGAAACCCTCAAAAAATGGTGGGAAACCAACGGGAAGGTCTCGAATCCATGAAGAGATGGTGGAAAACCAACGGAAAGGTCTTGAAACCCTCAAAAAGAATGGTTTGAAACCTTTAAAAAGTGGTGGGAACCCAACAGAAAGGTCTTGAAACCATCCAAAAGTGGTGGAAAACCAATGGGAATGGCTTGAAACCCTCAAAAAAATGGTGGAAACCCAATGGAAAGGTCTTGAAACCATCCAGAAGTGGTGGAAAACCCACCAAAAACTGCTGGAAACTCAAGGGGAAGGTCTTGGAAGCACCAAAAGGACGGCGGAAACCCAAGGGGAAGGTGTGGGAACCGCGGAAAACTTGACAAGAAACGGCTTCAAACCCAGCCCAGAGCGGTGGAATCCCCACGGGAAGGTCCTGGGAGCATCCTGGGATGGTGGAATCCCAACAGGAAGGTCCTGGAGGTGTCCCAGGATGATGGAATCCCAACAGGAAGGTCCTGGGAGCATCCTGGGATGGTGGAATCCCAACAGGAAGGTCCTGGGATGGTGGAATCCCCACGGGAAGGTCCCGGGATGATGGAATCCCAACAGGAAGATCCTGGGAGCATCCTGGGATGGTGGAATCCCCACGGGAAGGTCCTGGGAGCATCCCAGAATGGTGGAATCCCAACAGGAAGGTCCTGGGATGGTGGAATCCCAACAGGAAGGTCCCAGGGTGGTGGAATCCCAACAGGAAGGTCCTGGGATGATGGAATCCCAACGGGAAGGTCCCGGGATGATGGAATCCCAACAGGAAGGTCCTGGAGGTGTCCCGGGATGATGGAATCCCAACAGGAATGTCCTGGGAGCATCCCAGAATGGTGGAATCCCCACGGGAAGGTCCTGGCGGTGTCCCGGGCCGTGCTGGGGGCGTTGGGAGGGTGTGGATGGTTTGGGGGGCGTGGGGGGTTTTGGGGGGCGTGGCGGGGGCGGGGGCGGCGCAGCCACCGCCCCTTTTACTAGAGAATAAAAAC